GTTCCACCCTAAGTTGCTGGTTAGCCGCAACAGAATACACATGCAGAACACCGCACCGACAACGATTGATAAAATTACACACGCCCTCAGAAGGAGTCGGAGACACTTCTATATTTGCATGGTGCCATTACACCTTACACGTATCATCAGTGACTGAGAGGGTCCTTGCCGTGTACTCCTGCCAATCCATGGTTCCTCTCTCAGATACCGCATCGCAGCCGCGAGACCCAGAATACATACTTTGTAGTATCTGGCATTCCGATACTGCCGCTCAGGGACGATCGAGGCCTAGTGCAGCTGGAGGCGGGTGCTTGCTTGACCCAATCGTTCTGTCCAAGTCTGCGATCGTCACGATCCTGCTATTGCTCGGCTGCGTGATTATTTCCTCTTGCTTATCTTCAAGGTAATCGATTACCCAAACAGAAAGCAATCTAGCGTCATGATTTACACTTGTAGTAACCCGGTGGATCCTCTAAATCAATTTCTAAGCCGATCCGCGAAGCGGGACCTTCAGGCTTCTGGAATCAATGGCATGGCACGCTCAATGTCTCTCGGCGATGCTAACGCGATACCGACTGGGGCGTTTCCCGCTATGGCAGTGAGGAAGAAAATTTGCGCTCCATAGTGGCCAAAGAGTTCGAAAAAATTTGTGTTGGTGTCTGTTGGTGTGTTGCTCGAAGCTGTTGAATGTCGCTTGTCCACTGTGCAACATCGTTCACAACGAAAAAGACTGGAGTCCTGGTGACAGAAATTATTGTACCCGCGGCCACGGTACTGCATGGGGAGTGGCCACTCCTGTTTGGTCCAAGTTTGACTTGCGGACCGCTTTCCTTTGGCCGCGGCACGAGTCGAACCCACAATTTCCATGCTCCTCCTCTCGCAGACCCGAGGTCCCGTTAAAATGCTTCTTCCCCTGACACCCTGCAGCTTTGATAGGCCAATCTTACACGGCTCAACGATGGTGGTTTGAAGTTTCATCCTCGAATTGTGCCACCTGCGCCGGTTGCCAACTTGCCAGACTGGTGGCAAGAAGCAAGATGATCATATCCTCTCTAACTCAATGCTCCTATCTACCTCCCAGTGTAGACAGTCGAATTTAGGCTACCGGAACCAGTCCGTACCAGCGCGCTAGTAAACATTCCGAACCAGAAAACCACGTTCGTCCCCTACGCTTGGCGCCGGGTCTGCCATCCAAACTTCAAGGTTTCAGGAACCACTTGAATCTACTGCTAGGCCGCTATAGGTCAGTGTACTTGCTGACCTTGTCGACCTTCCCAGTTCAGGCTTCAGAGCCCCCTGGTTTTGACTTCCGTGAGGGGCAACCCTGGGGGCTTTCCCTTCCATAGGCCAGCACGGGATACGTCGGCCCAGACCGTGATATGGGGTAGACTAGCTTCGACTCACTGATTGACTTCCTAGTTTTCACTTTCTACTTTCGTAGGCTCATGAGCAGCAGGATCTTAAACTAATCTGGCGAAAAGCTTTGCGTGGTAAAGGGCTGGCCCTCCACAGCATATCCACTCCCCGTTGCCGGTAGTTTAGCCTTTCCATGTGCGTGTGTGGCTCGTCCATTTCCTACTTCCATCGCGCAATGTCTCCTTTCCCCTCTTCTTTTACCTTTCGACTGTTTCTTGGGTAGTCCTGGCAAGTACGTGCGAAGGCTTGACCCCTGACTCGAACACAGATCGGCCTTGCACTACTTTGCCCATTCTTGTCGACACTCCAGGAATTATCTAGATCGCCCCAACCCACTATCTTTCTTCCGGGGCTTCTACAAAAATCCCCGTCCTATCTCCCGGGCCGAGCTGCAGCTGTCTCCGCCGACTGAGGAAGAGAATAATGACCGCAGCCTACCCCGGCATCCGATTTACAATACCCGATCAACAATGAGTCTTGTACATGTCTTGAGTGCCCTGGGGGCATTCGATGAAGGGGGACGCGACCTATTCCGCCGAACGATCTATGGCCCGGGTGGCGTTACTCTGGACATTGATCCCCTCCCAAGCACGCAGCGCAAAGGTCTGATTGCAGTCTCTGTCATGGCAGTTCTATCCTTCATAGCGACACTAGCCTTGATCTGTTTCATCAGCTATCGACTCATCTTTTGGCGCGGTTCCTATGCCCGGTACATCGGTTACAATCAATATGTCATTCTCATCTACAACCTCGTTTTGGCCGATCTCCAGCAAGCGCTCGCCTTCCTGATATGCATCAAATGGATTGCAGAGGATAAGATCTCCGCGGACTCGGCAGGTTGTTTCCTCCAGGGATTCTGGCTGCAGGTAGGAGACCCAGGAAGTGGACTTTTCGTCATGGCGATCGCTTTTCACACCTTCCTTCTCGTCGCTCTTGGGCGGAAAATGAGCCATCGGGTCTTCGTCAGCTTCGTCATTGGAGTCTGGATCTTCGTGGCCGTCCTAGTCATCATCCCCCTTGCTGCTCATGGCCGCTATGTCTTTATCCCATCAGGTGCCTGGGTAAGTCATCCTTCTTCATCGAATGGGCCCACAACTAAACGTTCGCGCTTCTAGTGCTGGATCAGCGAAGACTACGAATCCATTCGTCTCTGGACTCACTATATCTGGATTTTCTTGGCCGAATTCGGTACGGTCTGTCTGTACGCGGTGATGTGGTTCCAGCTGCGGATCCGGATCAAGCAATCCGCCATTCTGGGCAGCAGTCACATCGAAAGTCTCAAGCGCCTTCGCCGCGTCATTGGATACATGGTTATCTATCCGATCGCCTACATTGTCCTTTCGCTTCCTCTGGCCGCAGGTCGAATGGCGACCGCGCAAGGCAACTCTCCAAGTGTAGCCTACTTCTGTGTTGCCGGTGCATTGATCACCAGCTCCGGACTGGTTGACGCCCTGCTGTACACCCTGACCCGTCGAAACCTGATCTTGGAATCGGAACCCAGCCACGATCGCAGCTACAACCGCTTCGCCAGCAGCAAGGGCCGAAAGACCACAGAAAACCATCTGACCACCATCACCGCGGATCCCAAGATGAACCGGACGGACATTAGCGCTCTGCGCAAGGGCGTACATCATGAAGATGATGATCTCGACCAAACTGTGCGCGACGGCTCCACCGACAATATCGTGCAGACTGCCGGCGTGGAATTGACCCCCATGGGCAAGGTGTACCAACACACGACGATCGAGATTACCTCTGAACCTGCATTCGACAATGGAGTCGAAGAGAGTAGCGATCGCTCGAGCAAGGATTCAGATCGTCATCATGGGAGAATCAACGACTCGTCAGCACGGATGTGGGGGAGATAGTCGCCCACCGAATGTCCTCGAAATAATGCCCCTTTCTTCCTCATTTTCGATGTTATAGTGCTTCTCACGCCTATATTTGTACTACTATATACGGTTTATTTTAAACTTGAGGTGGCGGCTATTCCAGATTCACCTTCATTCTCTGATGACTCCCGACATCTATCCTTCGATCAGAAGATCTACCTCTATCCCTCTCCGCGGTCCTCCGCGGAGGATGGCATCCTTACCTTTCATCTTGCATACATTACTGCACATGTATATATACCTTGCACCAGACTTTTCCTTTCTTTTTCTTCTTTTCTCTGAATACCTCTAGGAATGATACCAGACTTTTTCTTTTTTCCCTTCTCTGTTTCTCCTCATTGGTTCATTCTTGGCAGACATGGTGCACTGCGGAATCAATATCAATAAAAGTTCTTTTTGTTATGATAGATTTGCATTTTTGGAGAGTGTGATCTTTCCCTCCCCTTCTTTCGTGGTCGGGGCGCTGTCTTTAGCATGATATATAGTAATAAGTACTACAATTACTATTCACTATCAAAGTACAATTAAATTAATGCCATCGTGGTCTACAGCTCGTATGAAGAGAGTGAAACTTATGATACGATTGATTGATTGATGATACCTTTGCAATGATACGAACTGGAGTACTACTAGTTACTATTTTCGAGAGACATGGGCTGATTGGAATAATAGGCGATCGGTAACTTACTGACGAAGTAGGTGTTAATTGTAGTACTGGTGGTAATCTAGACTACTACTGGATTGGTTATCATCGGGTGGTTTAGACGAGCGTATCAATCGATCATTAGCTGTGAAGGGATGTCGGATGCTCTCTCACAATCGTATTTTGTGGGTGTCCTTTTCGTCTCGCTTTGTATCGTTGCTCTCGTGCTTTTGATTGAGTGAATAGATTATCGTAAATGACAGGGGCTAGCTACCTAGTAGTAGGTTATACCAGGGGGTACGCATGAATGTCTGCTGGGAAGTCGCTCGCTGGTCGGCTGCCATGCTTGCTTTCCTTGGTCAGTGAGAGGTTTCCGGATTGCTCTTAAGCTCATTCATGTAAATATTGTTCGGGAATTACTTGCGAATGAAGAACAAATCCCTGACTCTCACTTTCTGTTTTGATGTGACTGCCTCGATGTGATGGCGATCTGGATGGCTGCGGTGCGAGCGATTTGTTAATTGGAGCATGTATGTCGCTACACGTATGACGCATTACCGGAAATTGAAACCCAGTCATGCTTCAATTTCACTTCTCTGAGCAAGATCACTTGAGACTAAGTTGTAAAATCTGCCCCCTATACTATTAGTCTTGCGGTTGTGTAGGACAATGCTTCATGCTTGGCATGCGAGAATACATTGTCTTGCCGTAAACGCCTCATCTTATCGCTATGGAGCTGGCGGTGGCAGATTCGTAACTGATTAAACGTTGTGTCATAGTTGTAAAAAGAGACAGGGGTTGAGCAAAGTCTCTGATCGTACTTTTGGGTTTTCGAAAACCGGGGGGACTGGATGGTATTTCGAGCAGAACAGCCGCACGCGGAGAGCGGGGGTGGAGCCGGGCTCCGAACAGCAAATGAGGAGCCTACGTTCATGACTCAAAGGCGTGACCGGGATGATGTACATATAAAAATGGTAGATTCTTGATTTGTTTATGGCAATAATTTCATTCTTTGCTCCGAATAACTGTTAAGCTGACTCAATTCTGACATGGAGCAACATGTTGCATTGTGCGCTGTGACTGTGGTGATGATCTGGGTTTTGCAGGTATGCATGTCTGCAGCGCAGCATATCCTCTGCAGGATGCACCCTACAACGAGGCAGTTACTGACCAATGGTATAGATTACTTACAAGTTCTTCAGATCTCCTCTTCGTCACATACCGGGACCTCTGTACACAAGAGTAACGAGGTTGCCGCTAAAGCTATCGATCATTACGGGAAAGCGCATCTACTTCATCCACGATCTGCACCAGAAATATGGCCCTGTAGTGCGTATTGCTCCGGATGAGGTTTCTATTTCCTCACTGCCCGAGTTCAAAGAGATCCATCGTGTCGGGTCGGCCTTCCTGAAGACCCCATGGTATCAAAAGTTCTCCTGGGACCGAAATCCGGGAGTCTTTACTATGCGGGATCCCAAGGAACATGCTGCGCGTAGGAAGTTGTTTGCGCGTGCATTCTCCAAATCCAAATTAAGACAAACATGGGAGCCCGTAGTCAGGGAAAAAGTCCAGTTAGCAGTGTCTCGGATTCGCGGTGAATTGCTGCGGGATGGGACATCCGATGTTCTGAAGTGGTGGACGTTTCTCGCCACTGATGTGAGCGGACATTTGATGTTCGGTGAATCATTTGAAATGCTGCAGTATGGAAAGGTGAGGTATTTAAAGTGCCCATTGCTGCATGACAGACTCGGCTAATGGTCAGAAGAAAAACAAATATATCAATATTTTGGAGTCCACCATGATGGGTTCGGGAATCAACGTCGAGCTTCCCCTTGTGGCACTCATTGGCCGATATGTCCCACTTGCATCCTTCCAGGAGATGTTTCGCCCCAGCGACTATCTTACTGAATATGGAAGGCGAGCGGTGTCAAATAGTCGAGCGAATAGCAACTCCAACCGGAATATTTTCACCGGAATAGTCAATGAATCGGAGAAGGCGAGCAGCACGCTTTCTGAGGAGGACGTGGTAATCGAAGCGGGCAACCTGATTGTGGCTGGCTCCGATACTACCGCTGTCACGTTGACGTACCTGGTATGGGCTGTGCTGTCGCAGCCGAAGCTCCAGCACGGTCTGGAAGAAGAGGTCAGTGCGCTGGATCCGAATTATAACGACGCTGCGCTGGAGGAACTGCCGCTCCTCAATGCCGTCATCACGGAGACCCTACGGCTCTATGGAGCAGCCCCAGGCTCCTTGCCTCGGGGCGTGCCGAATGGCGGAGCGACCTTTTGCGGATACCAGATTCCTCAAGGAACGACGGTAAGCACGCAGAGTTACACCATGCACCGGGATGAGGGACTTTACCCAGATCCCGAGACCTTTGATGTCACTCGCTGGTTAGGAGGGGATGGACATGGATCCGATGCAGCCAGGCAGGGTCTCTCCCCATTTGGGTACGGCACCCGAATCTGCCTTGGGGTGCATCTCGCCTGGATGGAACTTCGCTTAGCAGCAACCGAGTTCTTCCGTGAGTGTCGAGGGGTGCGACTGGCGTCGGGCACGACACGGGAAAGTATGAAGCCGGAAAACTATTTTCTGATCGCTCCGTCTGGACATCGCTGTGACATTCAACGTCAATAGACGAACGATCTCCATTCAGCTGCATGAGGTGTCGCTCGCTTGGAAGAATGGTCTGCAGACGGGCTCGTCTAGCGGCAGTAAGCGCTTGTGTGGGGAAGGACAAGGAGGTATGTGATCGAGATGGATGACGATCCGGTTCGAGAAGGTGGATAGATCATAGGACAGGACAGGACAGGGGGATGGATTCAATGCCGAATGGACGTGCAGAAGGATTATGTATTGCAGAGCCGAAGGAGTGAGGAAGTCAATGGATGCAGGAGAATGGAGGAAATTGACCGAATGGTGATTGAGACTAGAGACTAGAATTATCTAGTAGCCTTAGTAGTGGCAGTAGTGGTAGAAGAGATGGTAAGAGAGGGGCTGTCCGTGTTCCATAATTGTGGGTCCCAACCTGCAGCTTCGGCCGAAGCGACATGGAAATCCCCCAAAGAAGAGGCAGAAGAAGGCAGAATGAGCCAGCCGCCCGGGGTCTGGCCGGGCTGTTTGTTCCCCACCGCCAGGCCTGATCAGGTACAACCTTTGGTTCAATCACCGGCTGCTGTCTCCGTTCCCTCCACTCTTTCCCCCCCGAGAACTCTGGAATCTCCTTCCATCTATCAGCTGTTGTATCTACTGCTAGTACTACTTTTACTACTACTGGTAGCGCCAACGGAGTGTCAACCATTCCCGATAACAAGTAAGCAACCACGGGTCTGGCCGTACCGGTTATTGCCAAGATGCTTGCAAGGGCGCAGCTCTCGTTCGTCATGAAGCAAAGCAAATCCCACCTCCAAACTGTCTATCCCCGAATTCTGCCTTTCTCCGCGGCGTTAGCCCGCCTGTCGGGATTTGAACTGCCTGATGACCACCATATAAAGATTTTTCGAACTACGGACCGGGGGTTGTGTCTTCTTTCCTTTCCGCATCTCCATAATTATTCTGTGTGCAATACTGTCTTGACAATGGGGGAGCGATGACAGTCACGACAAAACCAGCAGAAGCCGGGCGACGACGGCGTCTGGAACGGGATCTGATGGAAACCTCGACCCAATCGGGCCACAATGCTGGGTAGGTGCTGGAAGATGGATGGAGAGACTAGGGAATACTAGTCGTCCTGTTCAGTAACTCTTGGTGCTACTGCTCACCCTCCCCCCCCCTCCCTGTCCAACGACTGGACGGACCGATCGGGTTCATGGATTATCCGGGGAGGTGCTGCAGTAGTTCGGACGGAAAACCTGACTGATCTTTGCTTTGACAGCCGTGGGGGCCGCTTCCGTTTCTATGGCTCGGGTCTCAAACAGTGTTTTGGCCCCTTCGTCAGGAATCCTTCCAGTATCTATATATTCCGTGCTAAGACGACAGCATCAACCCCCGTCGCTCCCGGCCCGCGCATACTAGATGCCGAGGCCATGTCAGATCCGCACTCGGCTCAGGATGGGCCCTTAACCAAAGGTTCCCCCTCTGCCGGGACAGCATCAACTCTTGATGGGAATGGTATACTTCCTGCCGCCTTTCACCTCTTCTCCCCTTACTCACAAGTCCTGCGGATCAACGGTTGCTAACTGCCGAGTCTAGAATGGATGCAGAAACTGGCTAAACTATGTGGCCCCAGCGCTACCCTGCGCAACGTTGGAACTCCAATGGCTGAAATAGAGTCCATGTTTGACTCTGTTTTCCCGCGAAACCCAGTCGAAACCATTCGGGATTTGCAGTCCGCTCAGTCCGTCAACACGGTCCAGCTATACGGCAGCAATGAGGACATGTAAGCGGGGTGGCCATATTGATACGGCATCGAATCCCGCTGACACGTTGCAGACTGGATGCATACTACATTTTCATACATCCATACTATCCCATCCTTCCTCCGCCTGATCGTTTGCCTGTTACCCACAATCCAGTTAGGGTGGACAATCCGGATGACTTCAAGCCGGCAAGTCCACTCGCGCTAGCCATCTCAGCGATGGTGGCGCTGGTTCCTCATAAAGATGTGAAGTATCCTGCCAGACCAGAATATGTCAGCATCCGAAGAGAGGTTTCACTGCGATTTGCTGAAGCCGCATATGCGGTGATTGCTCGGGATTACCAGCCGCTACGGGCCCCTGGTGGGTTCGAAGGCTCTTTGCGGGATTCTATCGGTCGGCCACCGTTTCACTCCAAACTCCCTGTGTGCCTGGAAGGAGTTATTGCACTATCAATCCTGTGCTTCTATGAATATGGCCAGCAAGGGAATCTCGATCACTCGGCAAGGTTAGCGAATGAGGCTTTGGAAATGGCCTTCATGCTCGGACTGCATGAGTCTCTGGAGGAGAATGAGTATGCCTTGGCCCGGCGCAGGTCATGGTGGTTTGTGGTTGGTTTTGTTAGCTCTTTCCATCCATACAATGCTGATTTCGTAGTATATGGCCACAAGCCATATGGCAACGGTGACCGGCATAGTGAGTGCTACATCTGGCAGCACGGTGGGCATTGACTAATCCTGTACAGCCGGCCTCGTTTGATGTGTACGATCCTTCATTTGTGACCCCATATCCAAAAGTGTGTTTCCGCCTAGTTCGAGGAACCCATGCTTATGCCTTCTAGGACTGGAGGCTCCGTGTTGAAGCCCAACAAGCTTTATATGAAGCTGGTATTTTTGCCATTGAGCTTGACGAGACTATACGGCGCCGAGAGGATGCGTCATGGATTCAAAAGCGGATGTCCGAGCTTGATAATCAGATTACCTCACTGCTATTTGAGTGCCGAGATAAACTGTCGGCATCCCAGGGCCCACAGCCAAATTGTGTCGAATCGGTGGCCGCAAGCGCTATGAGATCGTATGCTGAGATTAAATTGCACAGGTGAGTATCCAGGTTTGTTATTGTCTGCACTGGCGGACTGACTGTGTAGCGCTCGGATCAAATTGCACCGATATTGTGCCTTTCAAGATGTGCCCATGTTCTCTGAACAGCCTGGTCTGCATCCAGGCTCGTGTGCCAACGAAAGCATAGATGGAGGTCGAGCATCCAGTGATACGGCCTTGCTGCAGCATCCCGCTTCGATGCAACAATTTGGCATCCAGTTCCCCTTCTCATCGCACACATCCTCAGTGATCTGTGTCCATGCAGCCATAAACGTTGTAACTTTAATGGACAGTCTTCCATTTCCTAACCCAACTAATGATGACTCTCCGACCAATTTACCGTACATATTCCAGAATTATGAGGTTCCCCGGGCCATGCCCACTTTGATCAGTTGCGCCATGCAGGCGGGCTATACGATGCTGACTCTGAGTTGCAAAACGAGGCCTTTCGTTACAAAGGTGCCGGATTCGAATGCAGGTGACTTTCCATTAGCAGGACTGAGGAACGAGCTGGAACAGAGCCTGCGAGTAGTAGCGAAGTTCCTGGCGAATCATGCAATTGCCTTTGAGGCAATCCAAGGAATGCGTGGTACGTATACGCACCCCACCTTGTGATTGAGTGAAGCTGACCTTAGTAGACGAGATGGTGGAAGCAATAGAACGTGAATTCAGCAAGCCTTGACAGAATATATGTCTAATGTGAAAGCCAGCACTTCACGTGCTTGGGTTATTGCAGATGGTCACCGTTGAGTTCATGGTATGGATTCACACAGATATACCGAAATTCTGTTGATATCGATTTCTTCCTCAATACTAAGGTCCCTGTGATGGCGCGGCACAGTTGCAGTGAAATGTCTGAGTCTATGCGCATACCCAATTACTATCATACAAGAAACATTAGCGTACTGTTAGAATTTGATACCAAAAGCCTTACAATATTCAGTTCCGGGAAGACTTCTGACTCTTTCAACAATGTTTTCACTGACAGCATGCTCCGTGACGCATCTAAGTGGCTAAGATTCGTGAATTGGTATCCATACCGTGCTAAAACCACCCGTGATAGAGACCTCCTAAGTGACGCACACAGCATTCTACGATTCACGCTGACTCGTGTAATGGGAACTTCCCGTCTCTAAGGAATGAAAAAATTCACACGGCGGGTCATCCTAACGGTGACTCCCACGGAGACTGATTTCAAAATTGGCTATAAAATTCTCGCCGTGTTCCTTCCCTCCTTCTCCTCTCCCCCTTTTTCTGCATCGCCTCTCTTCTCTATCAACACATCATCAGCCAAGCTCATTCCTACCTTATATATGTATTCGTCTTAGACATAAGATGGCTAACATGCCTTGAGCTTACTTTGATATATCATTGACTTCATAGCTTCCTTGCGGTACTCTCTTCTTCATGCCGAAACGGAAACACTTCTAACATAGAATGACGACCTGTCCTTACATGAGTCATCCCGGTGTCCTCAGTGTTGATATATACGGTGACCGAGGATCGAAAAGTAAAGCAACACAGTCGAACTCACGGCCACAGCGCCATTGTAATGTCGATACCCCCCACATGGGGACCATAGAGCCTACAGCTTACTGCTAAGCTTGCGCTCATTACTGAGAAAAGGTAACAAGATCTGATAATACATACACTTGGGACTTTGGGACTCATTTTACAATAGATAGAGAGACCTATCGTCGAGCATTTACAAACACGTCCTACTCTGAAGGCACGATACAAAGATTCTCATACTCGAGGACGATCGTCTCCTTCTCAACGGGAGATTGTCAGTCGCGCTCCTCTAGCTGCACTGTACTTGGTGGAACCGTGTCCTTCCCTCTCGTGACCTGAGCAAGCCGTACACAAGGGCTTGATTGTGCATGCAGGATGAATATCGCATGTGACGCTATAGCCCAGTCAGGACCTTACTGTAACGGAAATGTCGCCTCACGTATGTCATTCCTCTGTTATGTTCTTCGGTGACAGCTAATAGCCACGTCTCTAAGAGACGAGCGCAGACTGGCGAGATAACCAGCTTAAGGCACACTGGTTTTCCTTCCAAGATAAAGGGCGGATCTGATGATCCTCTGCAATCGTTACGGTAAAACATACTATATCCTACATGCTCTCTGATATATTGCTCAGCGGACCGACGCGTGGTTCAGGTGCTGATTAATGCCTCATATATCAGTTACTTCTTTCTCTCTATGGACCGAGCCACCAATGGTTCCGAACGTTATAACAACTTACCGCTGCTATATCTTGTGCCCTTGGCGTCTGTCGTTGAGCTCATCATTTGACCCATGAACGAACGTGCCATCCCATCTTTCTAGGCTTGCTGGTCCAGCAGATCCTATGGTATCATTGTCTTCAGCATTTTGGCTGAAGTGCTTTTACTCCTGCGTGACGCGTCGACCCTTATGACAAGCCACAAGAGAAGAAGGAAGACAAAACAGAAGGCAATCTGGACTTAGACATGCTTTCTCTGGTTACATTGACGGAGCTGTCTA